GGATTCATATAGTCCCTAAACCCTAAACCCTAAACCCTATCATATAGTAAGCTACAGGCTTCCTTAAAGGGTGCTCTGGGGGATCTATAGGGAATTAGGGCTAGGGATTAGTAAGGGACATCTTGGAGGATCATGGGACTTAGTGAGTCAGGTTTAGAAGTTTACCATATTTTTAACACCCTAGTTGCTGAGTCCTCTGATCCTTCAATTGCAATCTAATTACGGGTTTAGGGTTTAAATAGCCTTTAAAGCGCTGGGGTTTAAACCTTCGGGTTTGAGAGTTTTCGGTCGTTGCTGCCGGCAGAGCATGCCACATGCCCTAAGCTGCTGCGAACGGGTGACGTGCGATGTGGGAGCGTCCCAAACTTGGAACCGATAAACCTTATAGGCTGAGGACTGATTCCTTTGCTACGAGTGAGTGTGCCACTATAAACTAGCGCAGACATGTACTATGGGGGCCTTAATAGTTAGAATAGGGCTTGGGATGCATTATATTATGACCCATAACTATAATGAGGAACCCCCAAAATAGTGTTGGTAGTTATTTAGGCCCCTACATTACAGAATACAGCCTCAACTTTGGGAAACTCCCCATGTTCTTAGTTTAGCAAATCGCTGGTGGCAAAGTGTGGTTTCTAGGAGCTTCCGGGGCGACGCAAGTTGATAAACCCCATTGACCATACTCGGCTTTCGGGGTTTAGGCTTTAGGGCTTTTGGGGGGCATATGACTTTGGTACTTACTGGGGTCTTGCCTCCGGGGCTACATGCAAACTCAACATTGCGTCCGTTGGCTCCATTCCTGTTCCAGGATCACTTTGCAACAGCGGAAGTCGGGCCAGTTGCAGCACTCAACCCTGAACCTAAACTCTAAGGACTTTAGGAGAGACCCCTAATGGGGACCCTTCGTCCCATTACCTTAAATAACCATTGTATAGTCCTTATATACCCCTTACATATTAACCCCAATAACCTACAAGGGTCCCTATTAAGGGTCCCTCCTTAAACCCTAAACCCTAAACCCTAAACCCTAAACCCTCCTAAAGCCCTTAGATAAACCTTCAGCCCTTTCGGTCCTACACGAAACTCTGATAAAGGGGCCTTAATAATTAGAATAGGGTTTGGGAGTTAGAACAGGGTTTGGGGGCCCATGATACCATAGTTATAATAAGGATTCCCCAAAAATAGTACATATGGGTAATTATTTAGGCCCCTACATTATATAAACCATGTAATGCCAGACCTTAAAATCCAAACCCTGAAGAGGACTCTGGGTTGGGCTTGAAATCTATCGGCCTATGACTAGACCCATCGCTCTCATTGTGACTCGGGTTTCGGGGCTTTGGGGTTGCAAGTACACGTATCAGGGCTCTTTCCTTCCCCTCCCCTCCCTCTCTCTCTCTCGCTCCCTCGCTCTCTCTCTCCCTCTCTCGTTCTCTCTCTCACTCTCTCTCTCTCTCTCGCTCTCTCTCTCTCTCTCTCGCTTTCTGTCTCTTTTTAGCTCTCTCGGTCTTTCTCCGCTCTCCGTCAATCTGTCTGTTTCTCTCTCTCTCTCTGTCCCTCTCCCCCTCTCTGGGTCTGTCTCCTCGCTCCCTCTCACTTCCCTCCCTCCTTCCCTTCCCTCTCATCCAACCCGAAGATCCCGAGACTGTCAACGGTCATCCCTGCACTTCGGTTTTCTGGAAGACGGTGTCGGGAAGAATGTCATCAGGCCGTTGCAATAACCAGAAGGCATAGGGACCGTGAGGGGATAATATTGCGGACTACACCTACCTCTCTACTGCAAGTGCAGTCTCTTCAGAACAACACAAGTCTGATATGGGACATAGCTTTTGATGGTACTTGGTACTACCGATTTCAATCACCTCGTTGCAGGGGGTCGACCCATCGCGGAAGTCCGACAGCCAGCAAAACCCTAAACCCTAAACCCAAAACCCAAAACCCTAAACCCAAAAAACCGCAAACCCAAAACCCTAAACCCAACACCCTAAACCCTAAGTGGCTGTCGGGGGTTTCAGATCTTTTTGTCTTCCGAAGCTGAGGTTCGGAGGATCAACCCCGGGGGCAGCTCGCACACGCAGTTTGGCTCGGGCCGAGGACCCGCCGTGGGGGGCTTCCAAGCGTTGCTTTGTTTAGGGTTTAGGGTTTAGGGTTTAGGGTTTAGGGTTTAGGGTTTAGGGTTTAGGGTTTAGGGTTTAGGGTTTAGGGTTTAGGGTTTATTAGGGTTTCGGGTTTGGGGTTTTCCAGAACTTGTTTGCTTCCATGGTTTTTGTGTTCAACGTTTGTTTTTCCATGAGGCTCCTCGGGTTGCCCAAGGGATCTCAGAAGGTTTCGCAGGCTTTTGCCGTAGGTTTTCGAGTTGGGGTTTAGGGTTTTATGGGCTTAATCGGTTTTGAGGGGGATGTTTTGGGATTCCAAGAGGAGTTCAGAATGAGGGTTCAGGGTTTTGGGTTATCGGGTTCGCTTCTGCTCTCTACTTGAGAGTAGAATTCAATGTCGGGGGCTCGACAACCCTAAACCCTAAACCCCAAACCCCACACCCTAAACCCTAAACCCTAACCCCCAAATCCCAAACGCTACACCCTCAACCCTAAACCCTAAACCCTACACCCTAAACCCTAAGTGGCTTGAAACCTCAGATCTTTTGTCTTCAAGTCGAAGAGCCCGAGACCTGACACCTAACTCCCCGAAGAACAGACTCGATCGATCCTTTGAAGCCCAAATTTCCGACAGGGTGCAGGGGGTTTAGGGGTTTAGGGGTTTAGGGGTTTAGGGGTTTAGGGGTTTAGGGTGTAGGGGTTTAGGGGTTCTGGGTTTAGGGGTTGAGGGGTTTAGGGGTTCAGGCGTTTAGGGTCTAGGGGTTCAGGGGTTTGGGGTTTAGGGTTGAACCAGTTCCAAAGAGGAGGAGACGACGACAACGACTTCATGCGGAGGGGCCGATTTCGTGACAACCGGCGCTAGCTGCTGCTTGGTGCCGGGCTGATCGAGCGTGCCTTGAGAGGGACGAAGAGGGCTGGTGAGCTTGGGATATGAGGACTTGGCGTGCCCATGGATTTGTTTTTCTACAATATATATATATATATATATGTATATATACATGCTCAAGGAAAATCACAGGTGCCTGCAAATTTCGGGACATCGTCTTATCAGCGACTTAGGTAGTGTTCAGGGGTGTTTAATGAGTGCGATAGCAGCACGATGTAAGGTCAAGCTTCTTAAACGGTAGCTGGTAAGGAGCATGCAAAGGTCCTTGGAGAACCGGACAAGCGTTAAAAATGATAATCCGAAAAAAAAAGACACGATCTTAAGAGCTGATACATGCACATGGAAGGCGTTAAATTTGATACCTTGGCATTCGGGTACATGCAAGGTTTGGGTTTGCTGATATCGGTTTGGGCTCTTACTATTCTATAGCCACCCCTTCGTCCTCATAGGCTGTCGGAGTGCAACACAAGCTTGCCAAGGTAGGCTGCACAGACCTGCGCCCGAATGGACAGCGTCAGAAAACCGAGGGACTTTGGTTGCTTAGGGTTTGTCGCCCTGACACCCAAATCCCGCACATCAATCCCTTAAGCCCTAAGCCCCTAAACCCCACACCCTCAACCCCTAAATCCCTAAACCCCTAGACCCCCAACCCCTCAACCCCTAGACCCTAAACCCTCATTCTCAGTCTAAACAGGAGTCTTTGGGTCCTGTATTTTGGGTTTAAGGTTTAGGGTTTAGGGTTTAGGGTTTAGGGTTTAGGGAGGGTTTAGTTCTGGTGTGTAGGGAGTAGGGTAGGGGGCTTGAGGATGATTCTTGAAATTCCTGTTGAAGCTTGGAAACTCAACCCTAAACAGCTAAATCCTAAACCCTAAACCTCTAGACCCTAAACCCGAAACGGGGCACCCTGTTGCATAACCCTCTTTCCTCTTTCTCCAAGTTACTGCTAGTTCTGAGACCCTGCTACGGCTTAGATCCCAAACCAGGTACTGTTCAATGTCCCTTATTGGCTCAACGAAGACTAAGTAACTTTGGGGGCCTGTTGAAATCCAGACCGAATCCATCGAAGTCCTGTTGCCGCTGTATTGACTGCGGTTCTTCCGTCGGTTGGGCGAATGGCAGGGATGCGGCGATTTGTTTTGTTTTTCTCCAGCCCTGATCCCTAAACCCTAAACCTAAACCCAGAAGTATTTGTGAGCCGTTTTACGCTGATGCAACTCTCAGTCTCTGACCCAGAGTTCTAGTTTGCATCGCTTTCGGGGCCGCTCTTGGCGGGGGCTGCAAGTCTTGACCCTACCTGCAGCCCTAAAACCTGCAACACAGTAGGTTATGACTCCTTAGTTATACTTCATAAACCTCTAAGCCCTAAATCCTTTACCCCTTACCCTCTACACCCTAAACTCTTAAATTATGGTGCATAACATCTACCACAGCAGGGGATCCCAGAACGTGGAGCTCAAACGAGAACCCCCGAGGATAGAGTTCTGCGGAGCCTGACAAAATCCGGGGCGACTACCTGGGGATCCAAAAACCTGCCGTTTTGAGGGTTAGACTCATAAAGCCTAAAACCCCTAAGCTTTGAATCCTAAGCTCATAAGCCCTAAATCCCATAAGCCTTGAATCCTAAGTTCATAAGCCCTAAAACCCCTAAGCTTTGAATCCTAAGCTCATAAACCCTAAAGCCCCTAAGCTTTGAATCCGAAACCCCGAAGCCCCGAACCACGGAGCCCTCGACCCCTAAGCCTCAAATCGCTCATCCTCAAACCCGAAACCAATGTAGGGTTTAGGGTTTAGGGTTTAGGGTTTGTAGGAACCTGACCTGGCCCTATAACCCCAATATATTAGGGTTCATGGGGGTTTCGAGTTTAGGGTTATTAAGACCCTAACAAAGACTTTACCCAGGGTTTCTTAATCAGCTTCCGATATTTAGCCTCACTTCCCCAACCCTTTGCTGGCGAGGTAAACCCTAAACCCTAAACCCTAAACCCTAAACCCTAAACCCTAAACCCTTTGCTGGCCAGGTCCTCCATCCGCAACAGCCAGGACCTGAAGCACTTCGAGGCACCCTGTTGGGGTAAATAAGGGTTTAGGGTTTAGGGTTTCGGGTTTAGGGTTTAGGCTCGCGGGTCTACAGGCTTTGGGGTTCTAGGCTTCTGAGGTTTTCAATATTTAGGGCCCTAAACCCTAAACTCAGGGGTTAGGGGTTTTCGGTCTTTCGGCCTGTGGACCACAACCGCAGGAGGATGGTAAAAGAAGCCATATGTGTACATCTCCATGTATGTATGTACTGTATTTACGCATATGAGTAGTTCTAAATTAGGGTCCCGGTTTAAATCCCCAAATATAGTACGGCACCCTTGTAAAAAGGACCCTAAAAGGGACCCTAATTTAGAAAACTACCCATATGCCTAAGGTCTAGAGACCCGAAACCTGAAAGAATCCGAAAGCTTTAGCCATGTACCCCCAAACCCCAAACATAGAGGCCCTAACTCCCGCAAGGCCTGAATGCCTAAAAGCCCTGGCCCTTGTGTAAAGCTCGCATGACCGAGACCTAAATCCAAAGCCTTAGCAGTATTAGCATGTATACTATCGTCAGTGTCATCACTACAACTTCTAGCATTGGTTACTACCATTACTACCATTACTTCCATGACTATTGTCATTACTACTTCTGTGGTGCTATTGCTATTGTTGTTTAGGTTGTTGTTATTGGTGCGACTGTTCCTATTGGTGCTTCTGTTTCTGTGATGACTACCACCTACCAAAACATACTTTTTTGGTAGGGTCCCGATAAATTCTATACTAGGGTTTGTAGTCAGAGCCTGCGAAGAAGTACTGTAGGGGCTTGAATAATTACCAATGCTGTTTTGGGGGGTTCCTTGGTATAATTGTAGCATAATGTACCCCAAACCCTATTCTAATTATGAAGGCCCCTATCTTAGGTTATGGTAGTTTAAGGTATAATTGTCCTGAGAGGTGGTGCGCCTGGTCCGCAGCCTTGGGCAGAAGCTTGGAGACCATCAGCTGGTGCTGCTCTCCAGGCACACGGCTTTTGGTCCTTAAACCCTAAACCCTAAACCCTAAACCCTAAACCCTAAACCCTCTCAATTGGGTTTAGAGCATTTTCCGACCCGCGTTGTTTTGGAGGTTTGAGGGTCGGGGATGTATGATCTTTCGGGGAGTTTGTTTGCTGGGTTTGGGCTTTAGTCTAGGGTCTACGATTCTTTGGAGATTTATGCTGACTTCACGGTTTAGGGTTTAAGGTCCTAGGTTTAGGGCAGTCCTGCGATTTGCGGTGCAGGGTGTTGGGGTTTACGACTGAGGTATTCGAGGTGCGCAGGGTTGAAGTTTAACTAGCGAGGTGACGGATCATGGTTTAGGGCTTGGAGTCCGAGGCTCAGCATTTACGGTCCACTGTTTGTCCACGGCTCCTTGAGACCCTACACCCTGTTGCGAGTTTTGCCAATCGTGCTAGTGTAAATGCTACACCGTCCTTGAAAGGGGCCTCCCAGAACAGCCGAATAGAAGCCCCAAGCACCAAGAAAGGCGCATGGACTCCATGCTGCGCACGGAGGTGGGCTACGGGTTTTTGGTAGAGGGCTCAGGGCTGAAAGTTTTTGGAGCCTTTGGGTTTTGGGGCTCTGGGTTTGGGGCTTCGGGTTTTGGGGCATTGGGTTTTGGGGCTTTGGGGCTTTGGGTTTTGGGCTTTGGGTTGTGGGCTGCCCATTGTCATTTTGGGTTTCGGGCTTTGGGCGGGGTTCAATACAAAAGCCTCAGTGGTAGAAATACTGTTCCGTCTGGTTCCCTCGTATCTACCCCAAAAAGCAGTTCCAATCATTAAAGGTCCCTGCATGAGGGTGCCGGGTTCTGGGCTCCGGGTAAGGTGTTTGTTGGTCTGATTGAGACACCCCATTGGTTCTTCACTCCCCCTCCCAAAACAGCAGAATCCAGAATTAGATCCCTAATTTGTGCCTCAAGTTGCCATAAGCTACTTGCTTGTCAGGGTATGAAGAACCCTAAACCCTAAACCCTAAACCGTGGGACCCTACCCAAAAATAAGAAAGTGGAGCGGGAATCCCCCGCGTCGAACGTTGCTCTTCGGGTGCAGCAACCACTGAAGGGAAACTCGGGAAGAGAGCCCATAAACGCGCAGGCGATGCCTAATAAAGGGGCCTTATTAATGATTAGAATAGGGTTTTAGGGTGGTTGCGGACCGAAGTCTGATGCGAACAAGATGAAAGATGCCTTGTGCATCATTCAATCATCTAGCTTTCTTTGAGCTAAGAGTCCTAACTGAGTGTTGCAATGATTTTATCAACGCAACAAATCATTGAATCATATTGCAGCGACCAAGTATCTAATGTCTGTACAGGGAAGTCGCGCATACGTGTACAACGTCGCGTCAGGTTACGCGGTTCAACTGAGAAGTTAAGCAGCTTGGCACAGCTTGCACAAGCTTCCGTAGGGGCCCAGCAGGGCTCAACAACGTGTGTGCGGAAATCGCTTTCAAGTATTTGACTTTGTTTGTATCTTTCAAGAGTGTCTTTGAATCTGGTTAATCGCTGTCTCGCCGCTCTAAAACGCTTCAAGGGCCCAGGTTTGGGCGGAAGTGCATTCCTGATTTCATCAGAATTTAAAGAGCTCCATTTTTCAAGCGGGAGATGAGAAATGCAATTCACTTGCGCGGAGATGCAGTTGGTAACAGCATCTTTTTGAAGTTGAATAATTTGCTGAATCCAAGCTATAGGCACACCTTTACCTCTGAATCTGGGATATTTCCATCTTTGTGAAAGAGGAGTGTTTTCAAGAGTAATCTGTTCCTGTCCCACAGCTTCACAGAAATCTGTGGTACAGACACGAATGACATGCGGGTTGACATTTT